ACCTTAATTGGGGAGGACAGGCTCGTGGTAATGGCATCAAACACATGGTTTCCATGTGTTTTGATGCCATTCACTCCGTTCCAGCCATTATGAGCCGTCCTCCCCTCAGCAGCCTCCACTGGTATGGGCCCTGGTCAGAAGTGGTGCACTATATAGGAAGTAGGGTGTCATTTCAGATGCAAACTTTGCTTCTCCCGTGATGGGGTGGATCTTTTCTGGTGTGAACTCATTGCAATCGATCAGGACCCCAAACAAAGGAAGCTGTTCCTACTTTCTGTAGCTGTGTGTGTAGTATGTCAGCTGGGGTCATGTTCAGTTGGCACAAAACGTTAGGAAGCACTCAACGGGGGGGTAGGAGGTACGATCTGTACGATTCCAATAAGAAACACTTCGTCTTCAGTTGCTAAATGTTTTGCTACAGATGGCCTTAATGAACATGACCCAGGTTTGTGTGTACGCACTCATCACTTCAGAAAAAAGACCAGATAAGAAAATGTGATTTCTTTTTAAAATGCAAAAGAAAAACAGGACTTTGTACACCAACATCCTAAAACCAGCTCGACGTTGGGAATTTAGTAATAAAGGAGTCAAATGTTTTTTCTATTTAAAAATAATAAAGATGCTTTGTACTATTACTATTAACGTCTCATGTGGTTTTAATTGAATGGATACGGTTCTAACACTACTGGTCATGTTCCTGTAACTATCTCATGGATACGGTTCTAACACTACTGGTCATGTTCCTGTAACTATCTCATGGATACGGTTCTAACACTACTGGTCCTGTTCCTGTAACTATCTCATGGATACGGTTCTAACACTACTGGTCATGTTCCTGTAACCATCTCATGGATACGGTTCTCGTCATGTTACTAACTATATCTCATATTACGATAGGGGATACACCTTTTAGCTAGTCCGAGGATAGTACTTTTCAGACTGGGCCAGTAGAAATGTGCCAAACAACCCCTTCAGGCCAGCCAAATGTTGTATTTTCAAACATCGCACGGGCCGGCAAATTTTAGACCCTATTTGTTTTTTTTTTTGTTTTTTTTTTGGTAGATCAGCTTAATATTGCAGATTGATAGAAGATACAATCAATGTAATTGTCTGCATCACTTCCAATCCCCCATGTTTTTTATATATATACTCCCCTTTATTACTTTTCAACCCCGCCATCCTTTCCCTACTTGGAGTAAATTAGTGAACAACAATGCCCAGGCCTCTACTTCCGGTCTATACTTACTATCTACACCTTATGGACAGAGTTAATTTTACAATAATTCTATTATATATATATATATATATATATATATATATATATATATATAATTTTTTTTATTTTATTTTTTTTTGCTCCTGAACTACTTCTACTCTCAACCTCTCCGATCATTTTCATGATGTCCATCCGGTTTGCTTCTATATGCCATATCTTTCTAACTGTGCTCTTTCCCAAAAGCTCCCAACATACAACCTATATACTTATTATGGACACAGTATGCTTACATTATTAGCTATCTTTGTTATTATTTGTTATTAGTCCCATCCTTCAACTCTATTCAATACCTCCCATCTATCTCTTAACACCATCCATATTGGATTTCTATTTGCCATATATGTTTTACAAAAGTTCTGAACCTTTCTATTCTCATTGCTTCTACAGATTGTGAATTAAAAATAAACATTTTTGCTAAAAGTATTATTATATTATTGATTGATTGACTATGACTTTTCAGATCACCCAGTAATGCTATCTGCAAGGTTAGCTCCAGGTAAATATTGCAATCCTTTAGCCATTCCTGGACCTGTGTCCAAAAACAAGCTACAAATGGACAGAACCAAAACAAATGATCTAATGATTCTGTCTCTTCACTGCAAAATCTGCAGAGCTGGGAAGATTGTATCCCCCATATAAATAACATTCTACTGGTAGCAAGAATTTTATATAATAATTTAAATAGAAAGATTCTAATTTTTGAATCCGGTGTCGTTTTGCGTGTCAGTTCATAAACACTATGCCATGGGATCGGTACGTCAAAGATCTCTTCCCAACTATTTTGCAATCTATATGGGACGGCTGTCAATCCTTTGGTCCTTAAGTGAAACTGATATACTTTTTTATTTATCACAGTTTTCCTTAACCAATTATGTTCTTTAATGCAAGGCCGACAGACAAGTTCCTTACTTTCTCCCCCTTCCACTTTCCTCTTCCACTTTTGCAGTAAGACTGCAATTATTTGGTTGTAATTTTGGGTAGAGCAGACATTTCCATATGTTTTTGTTAGCTGCATGTGCGACATAACTCCACCAGTCCTACCGATGATATCATTTACGAAGATTATACCTTTTTTAAACATTCTGTCAAAAAAAAAAAGTTTGTCAATTAGTATATTTGAATTTAACCACAATATTTGTTGCATTATTTGTTCTGTCGTTTCTGGAGGATTAAATTGAAATTGCAACCAACTTTCTATGGCTTGTTTTAGAAATAGTGATATGTGGGTGATTATTTCCTTTTCAAATAACTGAAAGTGAGAGGTTGTAATCTGAATAAAGGGAAAAAGGCCATTCTTGAACATTGGGTGAGACAATCTTACTAATTTACTTGAGAACCAGTTCGGATTTAAAGTATAACTTTTGTATGACTGAAGCTTTTAGTGATAGGTCTAATGCTTTAATATTTAATAATTTCTGTCCTCCGAATTCATATTCATTATATAAATATGCCCTTTTAATTTTGTCTGGCTTGCCGTTCCAAATAAAATTGAATATTTTTCTCATATAATTTAAAAAACTGTTTTAATTAAAAAAAACTAGACCCGATTGTGACCCTGGCTAGTAGAAATGGTCTGCTAGCCTGGCTGGCCCAGAATCCTGAAGTTCTATCCATCTCTTCACGTAGCTCCAATTGGATGGTTTCATATTTCAGACAAAATAACCCAAAATAGACTGACTAAGCAATTTATTTAATTTTTCTGGGGCATTCATTCTGTACTGAAGGTAGGTACAATGAGGTATACACAGATCTCAAAATAATAAGCCTTATAACAAGCAGGACTGGGGTCAATTCCATTTAGGAAATCAACTCACATTCCACTTTTCCTCAATTTGGAAATTTCAGTTAACCTCCTGAATTGAAATGGAACTGAGCCCAACCCTGATTACAAGTCACAGCCTGCGTTCCAAATGGAACCCTATTCCCTACATGGTGCACTACTTTTGACCAGCACCTATGGACTCTGTTCTAAAGTAGTGCACTATATAGGGAATAGGGTGCCATTTAGAACGAACACACAGTTAAAGGAATCAGAGACGGATGTTTGCATGAAGAGGGTGGTGGATGATGAGACGGACAGTTGAGTACCTTAACTGGTGGCCTGGTTCCATTTCCAACCCCACCACCTTACCCTTGCACCATGGCAGTCTTTCACTGATTTTGGACTTGAAGCAACACTTTCTGCAATACTGCCACAGTAACTATATACAGCTACATACTGTGTTCAGATACACCTTTTATCTACAAGCAGTGTCTTACAGCATGTATGAGCAGACATGTCCCTGTTAACATGTTACTGAGAAACTGTCACATCTTTAAAACATTTAACAGTCAGTCTGCTGAAGAGAGCTCTCTGTAGACCTCCTCAACCATTCCATATCTGCAGACACACAGGATGCGCCCCAAATGTCACCCTATTCCCTATAGTGCACTAGAGGAAACAGGAAATAGGGTGTCTTAGGACGGGCCCTCTATAATTCACATCTCACAAGTAGAACAAGTTCCCCCCCAAAACAATTCACATGAAAGTACATCAATGTCTACAAGTGAAGTTACATTATTGCATGGTTGTGAATACTGTTATGACGATTGTCTTAGCAAAAACAAATGTAAAACGTAAAAAAAAAAAAAAGCACATTTAAGAGCATGAAATGGAATCTGATTCAGAACACTTACAGATCTAGAACTTTGTACACACCGTGAGTTCTGCTCACACCGAGAGAGAGAGATGGTAGAAGAGGGTTTAGATCTCTGGAGTAAGTTGTTTCACCGTGGTGGTGTTTGTCTTGTGGTAAACCAGACCAGCATGCTTTGCAGCTCAGGCGTTTGATGAAAGGAAAACGTCTCTCTCTGATCACTTCTAAGATCTCTGAACCACCCCTTGTTCTTCTCACATTTTAAAAGACAACACCACCATTTTGTGACTTTTGGAGAGAGTCTGCATCTGAAATTGGCACAGAAAATGGCACCCTATTCCCTATATAGTGCACTACTTTAGACCAGGGCCCATAGGGCACTATGTAGGAAATAGGGTGCCATTTGTCTCTTGAAAAGGAGGAATTATTGTTCAGTTCTGGTACGTGAGTCTGTATCGTACGGCAGGATATCTGATCAGCCATTTCAAAAAAGGGCTTTGCATACATTATGTCGATCCAGGTGCCAAGAGGAGAAAGGTGTGCTACTGGAGTTTAGATGTTCTGACACCAGAGAAGACAGCTCTCAGCCATTACAAGTCATACCTGGAGGAAGCGTAGGTAGCTGCAGAAGGCCAACTGAAACCTTTCCCAGGGTGTAAGGAACGGATGGGTCACACAGTGGGTAAAGGAGGGGTACATTACTGTAAACAACGCCAGTTGAATTCACATTTAGAAATGGAACTGACCCCAACACTGAAAAGTTGCCATAGGGGGTAGAGGCTAGGGTAAGTGTTTAGGGGTAAGTGTCTAAGGCAGTGGTATTCAAAGTCGGGGGTCGCGACCCCACTAAACAAAAAGTAAGAGTACAGATTATTGTATGAAACGATATACAAACGTTTGAGAAATAATTAGAAAAATACAATTTGAGTACATTTAGGCTTCTTTTCATTTTGATAAGAGATAAATGTAATGAATGAAGGGTTATTTGTTGATGTAAAAATCTAAATGTACCGATTTTAAGGTTGTCATTATTTTTGGGGTGGGTTCAGGATAAATTATTGCATAAAAATAGGGTCCCCGCTGAAAAAGTTTGAATACCACTGGTTTAAGGGGTCGGTCTATGGGTTGATTTGGGACAGGACAACAGCACGAGGTTGGCAGTCCAACTCCAGCAGACAGGACTGACAGGGCTGCTATCCAATCAGCAACCTCAGAACACCAGCACCTTCCAACCAGGGTGGGCTAAGGAACAGCCAAAGAACAGGCAGTCCACCCCCTGGTCCAGCAGCCAATCAAACACCACTTCCCGGTTCCCTGAGCCAATCGTAACCCTCAGCTTGAAGTTGCCTCCGTCGCTAAGGTTGTTGTTGTTGCTAACAGGAAGTAGGTTGACCACTTCCATATCAAAGGTCACAGCAGAGCCGAGGGTGACGGAAGGCAGCTGGTTGGTCATCTCTTTACCGTTGACAAACACCGCTCCTGGAGGGAGAGGAGAGGAGGAGGAGGAAGAGGGGAGGGATAGAAGGAGAGAGAAATCTCAGTCAAGTTTTCTAACTTTTAACGCTGCTGCTACTCTGCAATTGTATGCTTTACAAAAAAAAAAAAAAAAACATTTGAAAAAGTGATTTTGAGTGTACCATTGGTGGAGATGCAGACAGCCTGGTCTCTCTGGAGAGACTCTGCCTCTCCCTCACACCCCACACACAACCCGATACTGTCCTGCTTGTCCACCTGGCCCGTCGCAGAGATCCTACACAAGCACGCACACACATTAATCACAGCATAACATTACGCAAGAGATTGTGATTGAGAGAGAGAGAGAGAGAGAGAGAGAGAGAGAGAGGAAGAGAGTGTGTGAGTACTGACTTGAAGGTGAGCGTCTGTCCACAGAAGTACGTTGGAGCGTTGGAGTAGAGAACCCCAGCTTTAGAGGGGGAGGAGTCACTCCGCATGGCGATGTTTCTTCTACTGCTGAGGATGTAACCCTCACTGCCTGGACACCACTCTGACACACACAACACCCAGAAGAAGACAGAAACCATGACAACAGTACATCTTCAGTCGAGGCCGACTGCATTCAACAGATCTGGCTCCAGCAGACACCTTCTCACGCCACTGAGACATAGGAGATGAGACAGGATGTTGAATGATGCCAGAAACAACGGTGCATTACCGCCACCAACAACATGGGTGGTGAAATTACATTTAGAATTACAAGCTAGGTACTTGCTAGTGTGTACTAACTAGCTAGTGTATGTGTACTAGCTAGTGTATGCGTACTAGCTAGCTAGCCTAGGTAGTGTGTACTAGCTAGCTGCACAAGCAACAGTGGCTAACATTACGCCCTGGACCAGAGCTAGTGCCCTGACTGTTTATGTGGTAGGATACTGACACCCTGGACCAGAGCCAGTTACTCACAATACACGAGACCAACAAACGTCTACATGTTGCGCGCGCACATACCCTCTGAGATGCTAAAATAGCACCAGAGACGGTAAAATAGCACCAGAGACGGTAAAATAGCACCAGAGACGCTAAAATAGCACCAGAGACGCTAAAATAGCACCAGACACTAAAATAGCACCAGAGACACTAAAATAGCACCAGAGACACTAAAATAGCACCAGAGACACTAAAATAGCACCAGAGACACTAAAATAGCACCAGACGCTAAAATAGCACCAGAGACGCTAAAATACCCTCTGAGACGCATGTGGTGCCAGTATGGTGTGTGTGTTTACCATGGGGTGCCAGTGTGGTGTATCCTGTCTGTGGGACGCTCCAGGGGCTCCACTCGGTGCGTCCTTCCCCCCGGGCACACACCCTGAACAGATGATCAGTGTGGGGGTCCAGGTGTTGGACCAGGAACTCCTGCTCCGGCCCGATGTAGGCATCCTCGTACTGACCTGAAGTGGAAGATACCCAGGTCAGGACCACAGAGATCAATTACTATTAATAAAGCACTATTCCGATTATAAAGTACCATTAATATAATTACATTTTATAATATATTTCACATAATATGATATAATATTAATATTATTAAGCACTATTAATAAAGTACTAATATTTAATTATATGGTTAGGACAACATTCACGGGCGCAAACTTGAGAAAATAAACAGATTCACGGGATCAGCGCCACTACACTAAGACAGCGTCGCTGGACCCTTTGTTTAGAAATTCATCCGCATTCATATTATTATTATCATATTGAATAAATATGAATGATATAGAATCACATAGAAATTAATAAGTTATGGGATATGAAATCATTTGACTCGACCTTCATATTTTCGACCTAGGTACTGACCAGACACTGAGCGACGATACTGCAGACGGTAGTCCTGCACCGCAAACTCATCATCCACCTAGAGAGAGAGAGTTAGGAAACACAACCCCACAGTACAGTGTATTAGTTAGTTAGTTAGTTAATATCAGGGTCATAACACCCCACAGTACAGTGTACTAGTTAGTTAGTTAATATTAGTGTCATAACACCCCACAGTACAGTGTACTAGTTAGTTAGTTATATTAGTGTCATAACACCCCACAGTACAGTGTACTAGTTAGTTAGTTAATATTAGTGTCATAACACCCCACAGTACAGTGTACTAGTTAGTTAGTTAATATTAGTGTCATAACACCCCACAGTACAGTGTTTAGTTAGTTAATATCAGTGTCATAACACCCCACAGTACAGTGTACTAGTTAGTTAGTTAATATTAGTGTCATAACACCCCACAGTACAGTGTACTATTAGTTAGTTAATATCAGTGTCATAACACCCCACAGTACAGTGTACTAGTTAGTTAGTTAATATTAGTGTCATAACACCCCACAGTACAGTGTACTAGTTAGTTAGTTAATATTAGTGTCATAACACCCCACAGTACAGTGTACTAGTTAGTTAGTTAATATTAGTGTCATAACACCCCACAGTACAGTGTACTAGTTAGTTAGTTAATATCAGTGTCATAACACCCCACAGTACAGTGTACTAGTTAGTTAGTTAAATATAGTGTCATAACACCCCCAGTACAGTGTACTAGTTATTTAGTTAATATAGTGTCATAACACCCCACAGTAACAGTGTACTAGTTAGTTAGTTAATATTAGTGTCATAACACCCCACAGTACAGTGTACTAGTTAGTTAGTTAATATTAGTGTCATAACACCCCACAGTACAGTGTACTAGTTAGTTAGTTAATATTAGTGTCATAACACCCCACAGTACAGTGTACTAGTTAGTTAGTTAATATTAGTGTCATAACACCCCACAGTACAGTGTACTAGTTAGTTAGTTAATATCAGTGTCATAACACCCCACAGTACAGTGTACTAGTTAGTTAGTTAATATTAGTGTCATAACACCCACAGTACAGTGGTACTAGTTAGTTAGTTAATATTAGTGTCATAACACACCACAGTCCAGTTTGTACTAGTTAGTTTAGTTAATATTCAGTGTCATACCACCCACACAGTACAGTGTATGTAGTTTAGTTAGTTCAATGATCAGTGTCATAACACCCCCACAGTACAGTGTTTACAGTTAGTTAGTTAATATTTAGTGTCATAACACCCCACAGTACAGTGTACTAGTTTTAGTTAATATCAGTGTCATAAACACCCCACAGTTACAGTTGTAACTAGATTAGGTTAGTTTAATATCAGTGTCATAACACCCCACAGTACAGTGTACTAGTTAGTTAGTTTAATATCAGTGTCCACAACACCCCACAGTTACAGTGTGTACTATTTTGGTCGTTAGTTAATATTTAAGTGTCATAAACACCCCCACAGTAACAGTGTTTTAGTTAGTTAGTTTAAGATAGTGTGTCATAAACACCCCACAGTACCAGTGTTAGTTAGTTAGTTAATATAGTGTCATAACACCCCACAGTACAGTGTATGTACTAGTTAGTTAGTTAATTTAGGTCATAACACCCCACAGTACAAGTGTGTACTAGTTTAGGTAGTAATTTAGTGTCATTAACACCCCACAGTACAGTGTACTAGTAGGTTAGTTAGTTAATATTAGTGTCATAACACCCACAGGACAGTGTACTAGGTAGTTAGTTACTATTAGTGTCATAACACCCAACAGTACAATGTACTAGTTAGTAGTTAATATTGTGTCATAACACCCCACAGTACAGTGTACCGTTAGTTAATTCGGTGTCATAAACCACCCCCAGTACAGTGTACTAGTTAGTTAGTGTAATATTAGTGTCATAACACCCACAGTACAGTGTACTAGTAGTTAGTTAATATCAGTGGTCAATAAACAACCCACAGTACAGTGTACTAGTTAGTTATGAATATTAGTGTCATAAACCCCACGTACAGTGTACTAGTTAGTTAGTTAATATTGTGTCATAACACCCCACAGTACAGTGTACTAGTTGTTAGTTGAATATAGTGTCATAACACCCCACAGTAACAGTTGTACTAGTTAGTAGTTAATATCAGTGTCATAACAACCCCACAGTACAGTGGTACTAGAGTTAGTTAATATCAGAGTGTCATAACAACACCCCAAAGTACAGTGTTACTAGTAGGGAATATTAGTGCATAACCCCCACGTAAGTGTACTAGTTAGTTAGTTAATATCAGTGTCATAAACACCCCACAGTACAGGTACTAGGTCGTAGTTAATATGAGTTGTCATAACACCCCACAGTACAGTTGTACTAAGTTAGTTAGGGTAATATTAGTTCATAACACCCACAGTACAGTGTGTACTAGTAGTTAGTTAATATCAGGGTCATAACCCCCCACAGTAACAGTGTACTAGTTGTTAGTTAATATCATGTAATAACACCCACAGTACAGTGTGTACTCGTTAGTTAGGTTAGTTAGTTAATATCAGTGTCCATAACACCCCACAGTACGTGTACTAGTTAGTTAGTTAATATCAGTGTCATAACACCCACAGTACAGTTGTCTAGTTCGTTAGTTTAATATTAGTGTCATAACACCCCACAGTACAGTGGACTTAGTTAGTTAGTGAATATAGTGTCATAACACCCCAAAGTACAGGTATGTACTAGTTAGTTAGTTAATATCAGTGTAATAACACCCCACAGGTACAGTGTACTAGGTAAGTTAGTTTAGATTATGTGTTCATAACACCCCAAAGTACAGTGTACTTAGTTAGTTAGTTAATATTAGTGTTTCATAACACCCCAAGTAAAGTTGTACTAGTTCGTTAGTTAATATTAGTGTATAACATCCCACAGTACAGTGTACTAGTATAGTTAGTTAATATAGTGTCATAACACCACACAGTACAGTTGTACATAGTTAGTCGTTAAATATTAGTGTCATAACACCCACATACAGTGTACTAGTTAGTTAGTTAGTTAGATTAGTGTCATTAAACACCCCAAGTACAGTGTTACTAGTTAGTTAGTAATATTCTAGTGTCATAACACCCCACAGTACAGTGTACTAGGTTAGTTAGTTAATATTAGTGTCCATAACACCCCACCAGTACAGTGTACTAGTAGTTAGTTAATATTAGTGTCATAAAACCACACAAGTACAGTGTACTAGTTAGTAGTAATTCAGGGTTAACACCCACAGTACAGTGTACTAGGTAGTTAGTGTAATATTACGGGTCATAACACCCCACAGTAACAGGTAACTAGTTAGTTATTAAATATCAGTGTCATAACCCCCCCCCACAGTACAGTTGTGTACTAGTAGTAGGTAATATTAGTGTCATAACAACCACACAGTACAGTGTACTAGTTATTAGTTAGTAATATTAGTGTCATAACACCCCACAGTACGTGTCAGGTTAGTTAGTTAATATTAGTGTCATAACACCCCACAGACAGTGTACTAGTTAGTTAATACAGTGTCATAACACCCCACAGTACAGTGTACTATTTAGTTAGTTAATAGCATGTCATAAAACACCCCACAGTACAGGTGTACTAGTAGTAGTTAATATAGTGCATAACACCCCCACAGTACAGTGACTAGTTAGTTAGTAGTTAATATTTAGTGTAATAACAACCACAGTACAGTGTACTAGTTAGTTAGTTAATATCGTGTCATAACACCCCACAGTACAGTGTACTAGTAGTAGTTAATATTAGTGTCAAACCACCCACAGTACAGTGTACTAGTTAGTTAGTTAATATTAGTGTCCTAACACACCCCACAGTACAGTGTACTAGTTCGTTGTTAATATTAGTGTCATAACACCCCCACAGTACGTGTACAGTTAGTTGTTAAATATTCGGTCATAAACCCCCAGTACAGTGTACTAGTTATGATATTAATATTAGTGTAATAACACCCCACAGTACAGTGTACTAGTTTAGATTAGTTAATATTAGTGTCATAAACACCCCACAGACAGTTGTACAGTTAGTAGTAACTTATTCGTGTCATTAACACCCACAGTACAGTGTACTGTTAGTTAGTTAATATTAGTGTCATAACACCCAACAGTAACAGTGTTGGTACTAGTTAGGTGTTAATATCAGTGTCATAACCACCCCACAGTACAGTGTACTAGTTAGTTAGTTAATATCAGTTGTCATAAAACCCACAGTACAGCCTCCGCCGTTTTTGTACTAGTTCGTTAGTTAATATTAGTGTCCATAAACACCCCACAGTACAGTTAATAGTTAGTAGTTCAATTAGTGTCAGAACACCCCACAGTACAGTTGTACGAGTTAGTTAGTTAATATTAGTGTAATAACACCCCACAGTACCAGTGTACTAGTTAGTTAGTTATATTAGGGTCATAACACCCACAGTACAGTCGTACTAGTTAGTTAGTAATATAGTGTCATAACACCCACAGTACAGGGTAATAGTTAGTTAGTTAATATAGTGTCATAACACCCCACCAGTACAGTGTACTAGTTAGGTAGTTAATATTAGGTCATAACACCCACAGTACAGTGTCTAGTTAGTTAGTTAATATTAGTGTCATAACACCCCACAGTACAGTGTACTAGTTAGGTAGTTAATTAGTAGTGTCATAACACCCCAAGTACCGTACTAGTTAGTTAGTTAATATTAGTGTCATAACACCCACAGTCCAGTGTACTAGTTCGTAGTAATTAGGGTCCATAAACACCCCCAGTAACAGTGTATAGTTAGTTGTTAATGATCAGTGTCATAAACACCCCACAGTAAAGGTGTAATAGTTAGTTAGTAATTGAGTGTTCATAACACACCACAGTACAGTTACTAGTTAGTTAGTTATATTAGGGTCTAACACCCCACAGTACAGTTGTACTAGTAGGTAGTTAATATAGTGTGCATAACACCCCACAGTACAGATGTACTAGTAGTTAGTTAATATTAGTGTCCATGTAACAACCCACAGTACGTGT